GCACAAGCTTCAAGACATTCAGGCGTGCGATCCTGCCTCCATTGTCGCTTTGCGAAGTTCCCATGCGGCGGTGGCTGCAAATGCCAGACACTGCGGGGAGGTACCAACAACTTAGTAGAGCAGCATTCTTTGAACCAAGTACGGCTTAATTTTTCATCTCAAATTCATACCCACAAGGTTCTCTCATCTCTATTGGAACTGTAGCATGTCCATGAAACATCAAAAACGCTCAGTTTACTTGTCTTTGTAAGTTTGTGGTAATGCCTAGGCACATGTGATCCCAACATCTGCATTCATAGGTAGCAAGCTGAAATGGGTCGGGACGCACTGCCAACAGCTTGCTCTGGCCTGTGTTGCCAAGCATTTTGGCAAAACCTGCTTTTGAAGATGCCTGGAGAGTTGGTATGATCAAAAATGAGCGGCCACAGCCCTTGCAGCCTCTGCTGGACTGCTAGGTGCATCAGATTTGGTGCTCAAAGAACCAGCTGGCCTGGACCCACCCCATGCTGGCAACGCACCAAACCAGAATACCAAGCAAGACCTACCTCACTGGTGTACTGGTCATCTGCTCCTGCATTCACGGAATGTTAAGTCCCAGCAGAAAGAAATGCTTGGTATCACCTGGCTTTCCGCACATTTCACCTTGATATCAAACGGGTCCTGAGGGCGCCTTGCAGCCGCTTCCTCTGGTGCCTGGGCCACAACATCTGCCAACGCCTGACAGCGCAAACTGGCGATTCATGACTTACCACCTGTCCGGGAAGATCTTTCCAAATTATGCTTGTAGCTGCCTGGCTGTTGTGCTTTAGGTCATTGACCAAGGTGCCAAGGCTGGGCACCTGCAGGTCGGATGACACTGAATACGGCATGGCAGGGAGAGGTGCTCAAGCCTCAGACTCAAGCATCAGGCAGAGTCCTGAAAACAGCGCTACTCTCGCGAATGGTGGCCGTGAGGAAATCCGGTCCTTCATACTGATTGCACAGCACCTGGAGCTGGGCAGCCAAATGCGTCTTGCTGGCCACCTTGTTGAAGCAGAGCGAGGACTATTGCTTAAACCGCAACCACTCGAGAAGTCACAGAAGACCTGGCCTTCCCCACCTCGCGGGCCTCCTGCATGCTTAACAGGACCTGCACGAAACTGTCACGTGTCTTCCGGCGCCACGCACAACAATTCAAGGACCTGCCGCATAGCTAGCAATGTGGGCTGGCAAGAAGGTTGCAGCAAAAGGCAATCCTGCATCGATGCATGATTCTGAGCATCCACATGCAAGCACTCCATAATTGACAAGGCCTCTGTGACAAGGCTGCATAGCCTTGACATGGGAATAGCATGGAACTGATTGCACGCAAAGAGGCGTGTTGGCAATGAACAGATGCTTGCCCTATCGAACGGTGGCACTTTTCTCCCAACACGTAGATTCGTTCCATCAAAGATCCAGAAGCGGGCACTGCTGGAAACCTCAGACCAGCCGGCCTCAGGCCTCCAAGCCTTTCCCAACTGTTTCGGGCGGGGCTGCGATAAGACAAGGCGTAGTTTCTCGTTGTTCTTCGTCCCACAGTTTCGCTTCAGCTTCCTTTTCTTTACGCGTCTCACACTCTCTTCCGAGCCCGTGCTGATGTGGAGCAAAGGTATCTCAGACTGTATCAGCCACCGCTTCCGCTGCACTGCTTAGCCAGGCTACAATGAAAAAAAGGAGGAGCCGCTTTTTCCTGGCAGACGTCCAAACACAGTCTCATACATGCCAGCCATTTCTTACAGCAAAGAGTGGGATGTATGATGCCAGTCTAGGATCAAGCGTCAACCATTTTCCGTCAACAAAAGCTCAAAGCTCCAAAAATTCAGCAAATAGATGTACAGCAGAGAACTTTGCCACCTGAGCGCCTGTCAAACCTTGAGTGGTTGTCGTGCAAGCGGGGGCGTGTCTTTTCAAGGCACCCCCGACCCTTTACAGGGGTCGGGAGTTGGGTCAAGATCCCCTATTGATTTGGGGCGTCGTCTTTTTGCGGGGGTCCCATCGCTTGTCATAGTAACATTCTTTCCTACAGGGCTAGGTTGTCGGGTGTTGCTGTTCACTGTGTCCCGTTGCTTTACAAGGTACTGAGCTTCGATGACCCCTTCCTCACAGAATGTGCAAGTTTTGACGATTGCACCTGTGGCGAGGTGGGGCTTCTACCCTGCAAACCAACGTAACGAAGATTGAGATAGATTGAGGATCTAAGACTGGAGACCAATGAAGCAAAAGCCACCATCACAAACGCTTGGAGATGGCAACACTTGCGTAGATGGTATTCAGTACCTCTTCTTGTCAGCTCTCTTTTGCAGAGCATACGGTCTTGGTGAGATGATCATCACAGATGAATAATCATTCGAATCTAGGATCTGAAGCCACTCTTTTTGAAGAAAATGCTTCAGGCTGATTGAGGCACAGGCGGAACGACCTCCACCTGTCAAATTCCTCTCGGATTAGCTTCATAACTAGCAGTAACTAGCATGCAAAGATATCAACGTGAAGTCACACCTGCACAGGCACGCGGGCGAGGCATCCTTGCAGAACTTGTCAGAGCACGTCGCACAAGAAGCGAACGAGGTTGCGTCCTCGCGATTCGGAGACCCTGAAGGCGTCAACTGTCAGCCTGGCACGGGCTGCGCCAGAGACAGAGCACCAAGCAGCTGAATGACATCTTACCATGGCCTGGCTGAGGAATCAGGCAGTGTCCGGCTGGCAAAGACGAGGCCGACACAGAAATCTTGGTCTGTTGACCGATCATGCAAGATCCAGATCATGCATGATGCCGCTCAAAGCACTTGATGTATAACAGCTGCAGCCGGAAGGGATAAATCACGCTTGCTCAGGTTGCAGCCCGCAAAGTTTTCTTGATACTCCACCTGCAGCTTCACGTCCTTGCAAGCAAATCAGCCTTCACACCCCATCTCGTGAGCAGGCCGCTTGGCCAGTATCTGCTAGCGCAGGCACGGGCCAAGCACACGTGCAGAACACCGGCTCAGATGCTCACGTCGTCTGTAGGTCCAGAGAGCCCAGAGGTGTACCAGCCTGGGTGAATCCAGGCAGCCCTGTGTCATCCTTGCGTGCATCATCCTTGAAGGGCGGTCTTTGAAACTTGGAACACTGCAAGTCTGGGCGGCCGACCCACGACTTTGGTGGGTCTTACAACCTGCACATTGGCAGGTATCTGCAGGCAGATCTTTTCGAAAAGTCGTGCCTGATGCGACATCGCCTGACCGAAGGCAGAGCAGGAAGCACAGAATGGCGGAGCGGTGCTACTCAAATTGCCCCCAGCAAAGATTTCCCCTTTCTGGATTCTGAGCTTGATTGGTGGGTGGGCAGGTGCCGGGGCTTAAGGCAAGTGCGGGGTTTCTACGAAGCCGCCCTGTGCAGCCATGCATTCCAGGCTTTGGAGATAACATGGCATAGTAGAAAGACGCAGTGCCTGAGCCTCCTGTTGAGCAGCCACCAGCCTGAAAGCATGAAAAGCGCTCCATCACAATAGTCAATGCACAGCAATTGCGTGGAGAAAGCCAAGGACTTGAAACGCGAATCTGTGTCGCGCACCCTTCCTCAGTCTGCGTGTGGCCTCATTACCGTTGAGCAACGCATTACACAGAAGAACTTCATCAGCAAAGGTCCTGCACGAAGACCGTATAACAGAAGAGTCCGCAGGAAGCCCAATTCTTCCAGAAAGAGAATGTGTAAGAGCACACTTCGGTGAAAACGGCAAGTTTGGCCTTCTGGCTTTTTGGCTAGCTTTGGGTGAAAACGGTTGCAGTGATTTTTCAGCATTGACGCTGGTAACACTGGCTCATCACTGAGATGAAGACCATCTTGGCTCCTGCCCATCTGCAGGCTCCAGATCTGCAGAACACAGGTGCTTGGACCAACTGCGAATGGCAAGCCACTTCCTTGCTCCGAAAAGAAACAATTCCATACTATATGCACCTTAACAGCAGCGCATGCTGCAACGCTGTGTTAAGATCCCAGCTGCCAGATCAGCATTCCAGGAAGCTGAATCGTCCTGGGTCTGGGCGGTGTGACAGTTCCCTCACCTGCCTCGTCCCCAGCAGAAACATCAGCACATCAGCAGAACAAGAATGCGCATGCATCCCACATTTTCCTGCCAAGACTGAAATGAGGCCACAGTGGTTACAGAATTCAAGATCTTTCAAACGAGCTGGTTCGTGATCGGACTGTCAAAGAATTTTCAGCAACACACCTTACTGCACATCAGCAGCCCGACGGCGAGCACTGGCCATGGACGGGAACTTACCAAATGATCCGTCCCACTAGATGCAAAAGTACTCGCACGAATTATCCGGAAGAGGAATTCACTGCGGGTATGTCCAAAGAAGCAAACACGTCAATCTGTGAAACGCCACGAGACAGCAAACCCGGCAGCTCATGAAAATGGATATGGTGCGTGTGGCAAGTGTGTGGCATGTCTTGGCGGCACGCGGTCACGTTGCCAAAAAGAGCACCCTGTATCCGAGTGGCCTCAGCACGTTTCAGGTTTTTGCCACAGCCTGATCAGCCACTGGCATGGTCAAAACAAGCCAGGCATTACCTTGCAGGCAAGGTACTGCAGAGTGAAGATGCAACTGTTCCAGACATGCCTCTGAAAGAGTACAAAACTTCCGTAAGACATTGCGCACCAAAGCGAGACACAACAGCTTTGACCGGGTGCCCACGCGTGAAAGACGTTCTCTCCAAGGAGGATGCGACCCCGACCGCGATCACTTGTGCCGTTTGCAGATGCCATGTTGTGACCCCACGGGCGACATCGCTTGCTGCATGCTGATTACATCATGGCAGTTGGAGCAGGACTTGTTGCAGTTCAGTTGTAGCATTCTTTTTGCAAGTATTTGGTTATTGCCCCTGACATTCGATGTTGGCAGAAGACCTCATTGCCCGGAAACTGCCCAAGAGCCGGCTTTGCACTGCAACTCGCCTTGAGTCAAAACCAACACGAAACAAGCAAAATGTACCTCCCAAAGCCGCACGGTGCCGTCCGCGCTGGTTGACGCCAGCAGCAAATCATCCGGGGAATAGGCCAGGCGCCAAATCTGAGTTCAAGGCCGGGATCACGTGCAATTTAATCTAACAAGCTGCACTTGAGAATGCTTCCAAGAATAGGACGGTGTCAGCGTGCCCGATCAGGGGTGCCAAGAGTTGATGCGTGACAAGACACCTGGAAAGTGCTCTGTTCAGCCTGGTTGTAAACCGATCCACTGACAAGTCCAAGGAGTCTACCACAGATTGATTCTGTTGTCGCTGGTTGCTGTCGCCAGCTGTCTCTGGTTCTTGGTGACCTCGTGCCACGATAGCATAAGCTCTTCTGCCGCCGAATGGTATTAGTATCATGCCGAGCTTGTCTGAGACATTGGCGGCAATTGTCCAAACAGGAAAAATCTGTTGGTACCTAATGCTCATGGCGGATGCACATGTTCAGGCCGCCTCGGGGCGGAAGCCACAATGGACGTCCCAAAAGCAGCAGAACTCCGATTCCAAAGGCTCCAGCACATGTAAAGAGTGTATGCAGAAGTCTATATGAAGAACAAGTTCCATGAAGCAAAGCGCTAAAAAGGACATGTAAAGTTGACAGGACAAGGTCTCCGACCAATCTCTGCACCATCGCCACAATTACTATAAGTCCCCGAGAGTGGTGGGACCCAAGGTTACCAAATCCCTGAAGACCATCTATAAGGGGTGTGCCATCTTTCAAGCAAAGACTGGCAGGCATTGATGCTGCGCACGATTCCCCACTGGGATCAGGAACGTTTGATGTGATGTGAAACCTGCCCAAGACAGCAATCTGGCCAGCATGACAAGGGCTTGATTGTACCATGGCCATGCGATTTTGGGTTGCACAGATGCCTTCGTCCCCAGGCCTTCTTGGAAGCGCCGCCTAACAAATTGATGCTTGACAAATTTGTTGCATTCTGGCTTGTTGCACGCGTATTGGAGTTGCTACAGCACAAAGTCCACAAGCAGCGAAGGCTGAGCTGTGGGCTACCCATGGTCTTCGTGCCACGGATTGAAGGGACAACTGATGTCAAAGTATCTAGATCCTTTCTGCAGTTGCGCGTCTCATGTCTTCAACAGAACATATGATGGGCTACGTACGCCAGGTGTGGGTTGATTGTGCATGTCAGGAAGGTTTGCCAATTCATGGAAACCTTGAATCATCTCGCTGCTTGAGCCATTCCCTAAAAGCTTTCCCGAGCACCACCCTAATGTCTGATACCAACTAAGTTCGGCCACTATGCCAAACATCTATGCGTCTATGCAGCCAGGAGAGAGATTCAGTAGAAAGGCAGAATCAGGCCAGTGGCCAGCTCCGACTTGGCCTTTGCCAGGGAAAAGGCTCCATCTGAGCTCCGCACAGGTCAGGAAACAGACCCAGCCTTCTCCTTGTTCAGCTCCAGAGCCAGTCGGTTCTGTGAGTTGCGCAGCTGCGACTGCCAAACAAGTCACGGCTGGAACATCCCGGCCATGTCTCGAGATCAGCAGAACTATTCGGCCCGTCTTCAATTAAATCTAGGTTATTGTATTGTATGCTTGCCAAGCATTTCAGGCACTGAGAGAAGGCTAGCTGAAGGGGCGTGATTGTCTGGAACCTGGCACAGCCCGTTAAGCAGCATGCAACGTCACGCCTCAAAGTCCAGCTTTATCCTTTCCAGCCGGGACTCTTTGTCAAGCACCTGGCACGAGACACCCTCCATCACGGTAGATTGCAGCCCACAATAATGTTGATTGCAAAACGTATGCAGGCCCTTTGGGATTCTGCTCTCCTTGCATCTTCACTGGAACTAGCGTTCCCAAGGCTTTCATCCAGGGGGAACTGGATTTGTGAGGATCTGCCGTGCAGACAGCAAATTGCAGCGGCCAGACCTGCAGTTCCAAGTCACGCTTCTCCTGATTGAGACCATGCCATGTCGTCCAAACATGATGTCTCTTTCCGTCCTGCTGATGTCGCTGTGAAGCATCCTCAATTTTGGCAGTCAGAGTGGCCTGGCATCGTAGGCTTCTACCGAAGCATGAAGTTGCCACACGAGAAGGAGCCTCGGTGCGTAAAGCACCTTCCAGGGCTTCTGTGACCTGTCATCACCGATTAAATCGTTCATTCTGCAGCATGTCTGCTGTCATCAGCAGCAAGAGCTGCGGGGAGCCGAACCTCGTGAAGCTCTTTGGATAGCTGAAGCTTAGCTTGCCTCGCCTGCTCATCAATTCTCATAAATTAGATTTGCATGTGCGCCGCTCTAATCAAGCTCGCGCCTCTGCAGCTTCTTGCGCTTCCAACCTGGCACATAGATGACATCCGAAATTCAATCTTCTGAAGACTGCCAGCCTCAACTGATGTAGGTCCTCGCAGCGCGTGAGCTGTGGAAGGCCCTTCCCTACCCTCTCTCTTGTTCGCTAATCTTCTCTCTGCCTGGGGAAGTAACTCGTTCCCCTCAAAGCAATGCCTCTGAATACCTATCTTTGCGTTCCCGCATGCAAACATATGCGGTCCGCTGTTTGTTGATCCAGCTCTTTGACTGCCAGGGTTCAGCCATGGAAGGACAATCAAAGAGGACGCTGAGCTTTTCACAAAATCTTCTTTGTTCTCAATGCAGTCTACACCTCACTTCACTGAGCACTACAAAGCATGTTCAGCGGAAGCTTGTTTCTTGCACCAAGTCCTTGTCAGCCACTTCCAGCTGAGCCTGGCCAACAGCTAGGCTTTCTGGGTGCATGTCCAACTGATAGACAGCTCATGTCATTTCATCCTTGGCCAAGCCTGCTTCACGTGTAGGGAGCGGTTCGCTTCCTTCAATTCGGACAGGACATCATCCTGGCCAAGCTGCTCGCAGCGTCAGACACCAAGTGTGCAAGTGCTGAGGCCTTCTCTCTCTCCAGAGCCAAGGTCTTTGCGGAGGTCTCATCCTGCACCTTCCGCGTGTCATTCTAAGTCCATGCAATGCCTCAGCTTGTGCCAAGGAGACGGCCCTGCGCAAGGACTCAACCTAGCAAGGTACAAGGTGCCAAAGTGGCCATGTCTGCACGGCCGTCACATCTTCACATCACAGAGATCGGGCTAAAGCGGCTAAGTTGGAAGCATGCGATTCCCTCCATCTGTCGTACTGCTCCTGGCTCTCCTGCATGCCCCGGACGCCAATAGAAGCCAACTCATTTGCCTTTCAGTACTCATTTGTGTTATGTATTGACACTCCAGACTCGAGCATCCTTAGCCTGCTGAGCCTCCTTCGTCAACATCTCCTCATTCGAGATAAATTGCTGGCACGTGTGGGGAGGTGTAGCTGCTGCACTTTTGCACATCTTTAAGTGAAAGTACCGCTTACACTCATTGGGCTCACACACTCAATACCTCACACACACACACAAACACACTCACTTGAGCGGACCATGAGGTTCAATGGGTGGCGGCTGCAATTCATATCTTTTCTTTTCATTTCGTTTCTTGTCTCATCCATTCTTTTTTAATTGGGAGAAACATCGAACAATTAATGTCTCTTTTGGCTCTGAGGCCATTCATCTCCTGATGATCTTCATCTTGTTGGAGTTATTTAGGAAACATGTTACCTCCAACACATCAACTTCACGCCGCATCACCACCACTGTTGGAATTGTCAAATGTGGCATCACTGAGCTCTCTGCAAGGTCCATGACTGACTGACATGTGTGCAAACAGAACGGCTTCAGAATAGTATAGGTCCTGTATTGAGTGCACTAGCGAGGATTTTGGAAAACAATGCACAGCGAGGATCCTTAATGCAAATAGTTCACATAGAACAACGCAGGTACAGAGATTGGCGTCCCAATCTGCATCACGGAGTATCCACAGCTGTCTTCGTTGGCAGCAGAACTGTGGACTCCCTGCTGCCCCCTGCTTTTGGATTGTTTCTGCTTTCATCTTAGAATGCTAGACAAGCAAGGTCAAAGCTGATGGTAGTAATTTAGCTCCGAGGTTGACACACTCACTCACACTCACACACACACACACACACACACGCACACACACACACACACACGCCTCCAGAAGCAAAAAAACAACGAGACTCCCAGGCCTGCAAGCGTTGCCTGTCTGAGTCGAGTACTTCACGCTCTCGGGAAGCCTAGAGCACAGTGAAATTCGAGTGTGTCCCCCTGGTTCCAATCCTGCTCACATGTGCAAATAGCAACTTGAACATGAGCCTCTTTGGCGAGTTGGTTGACGGAGGTTTGTAGATCGTTTACCTGGTCTTGCAGTGCTGTGTTCTTCGTCTCGACCTCATTGGCATCCAAGTACCGAAACACGGCTTTAGGTGTGAATGCTAAGTGCTTGTTGAGAATGCTCCTACCAAGCAAAGGTGCCTGCTGCAGCAAGACGGAAGCTTCTGTTTTTTGGGCCTGCAGCAGATCCAATCTCACACTCAATGCGTGGTCCGATTGAGGGAAGACCAGCCTCCGCACGACGTTGCTCAGATTGCAGAGACAGCCTGCAGGAACTCAACTTAATGTGCGGCACACGTAAACATCTCCGGAGCTCTGCGGAGCTGTAGGTTGTAAGCAGCATGATACCTTGTTAGTCCTGCTCGTGCCGGCTCCCAAGCGGTGCTCGAATGCCAGAGCGTGGCGGAAGAAACTAATGCGCAGTTAAGAGCACACAGAGCTGTTTCCGTCATAGAGCTCCGTTTGAGCAAGGCTGTTTACATTAGGCATCCAGATTTACATTGGACGGTTGCATTCAAACAGTCATTGACGTAAAACGCTTAAGCCGCTTGCCATCGCTTGGCCTTGTCTCAGCCACTTCTACAGCCAGCTGATCTCTGGCATGGCTCATGTCCTCGTTCAGGAAACGAAGCGACATAATGAAGCCTTTCTCGTTAAACCAGGCTGTCCTGCAATTCCAGACGAGATGCACTTAAGCTTGCTGATGACCTTGCACATGTGTCGCATGCAATAGAAACAAGTAAAGTCGTTACAGCAGGCGGCTCTCACACGCCCACTTCGCATGCATTGGAACCCCTGCACACTCCTCGGTTCAGCTGGGCATCCCCTTCAGTAGTTTCTATGTCTTGGAAATTATCTGAATACAATTTCCATCATATTCCTTGTCCGTAAGCTTACCCCGTGCTTCTGAACCAGCGATCCTCAAGTATCTGGAACTAAGACATACCATAATTCAGTGGGTCATGAGCAGCAGACATCACAGCTTCACAGGGTTTAGACGACAGATCTGGCACCGTTGCCAGAGGCTCGGCTTTTAGAGCAGTCCCGCGTTTCAAAGGCGCTACGCGCTCTTTCTCTTGCCAACGTTGCATGAACTGCTCATCAGCTTACTCACTGCGCTTTGATGGGCTCTGAGTACCCAGCTCCGTAAGTTGGCCCTTCAGGTCTCTGATTGCCTCGTCTCTTTGGCCATGCTCCTGTCAACATCTTAGAGGAGGATAATGACTATTGAAATCTATTTGGGCTATTTTGCGCTTGCCAGTGCCGCAAATTGAGACCCCCAGCCTCTGCAATTCGTGCTTCGGAACCTAGCTCAGGTTTGCAACATCCAGACATGCTACAGGCAGGTCAAGGCCTGTTTTGCAGCGCAGTGGCAGAAGTCGTATTGTGTATTCTACGAAATCACTGCAGTGGTGTATACTTGCTGCTACTTCCACATAGCAGCTTGGAGCATGGATGCTTGGAGCAATGGTCAGCCAAAAGTTGAGGCTGCAAACTTGCGAGGCTGCTCTGCAACTCACGGATCTGTGCCTCCCCGGAAATTCGTGAAGGAAAATGTAGACTGGTGTCACAGTGGTGTGCAGGCCGCCTCCAAGAGTGAGGTGTCCTACCACGAGGTATAGCATCAACACC